GGGGTCCCAGCGCGTCGGGACGGCCGAGCGCAGGGTGGCGCCGGGCTGCGGGCCTGGGCACCGTCCCACGAGTCCGAGTACCAGGCCGGGGAGCAGACGCTGTCCCCGTCGGAAGGCACCAGCGGGGGACGACGAGCGGGGCCCGGGATCCAGGACTGGGCGAGCGGCGCGCACAGGGGCTGGGCCATGGCAGCGGAGGCCGGTCCATTGCGCCCGCGGCAGCTTTATCCCGAGCCCAAGGTGTGAAGTGGCCCCTTCCAGGACTCATCAGCACATCAAAGCCGGCTCGAGCCAGGAGTGGGGGCAGGGCCTTATCCTTTGAACCAAGAGCCCGGGGGGGCTCTAAGGTGCAGGACCCTTGGTTCAGTCGACCCTACTGGGTCATATTTGGGGCCTCACAAAGACAGGAGCCTATGACCTGCGGTGCCCAGGGCGTTGAACCAGCCTTGCATGTTGGAAGAACCATGCTCAAAGAACTGAAGTCCAAGTCCTAGGTGTAGGGTATTCCTTCATAGATTAGGGACTCTACGCCATTTCCCCCCATCATTTTAATTTACAAGTTGTATGACGAGATTCCCGGATTGCACTGGCCAGCTGTGGACTAGGGTAGGAACCTCTAGACACCCAGAGAACTGTAGCCCGTTCCTCCTCAGAAGCTTGGTGGTAGCCTGTAGCCCTTCCCTGATGCCCAGGCTGGGGGAGGCACAATGAAGAAACTATCCCAACTGGTGAGGCTGCTGGGTTGTCTGGGTAGGGGGGGAGGGGAACCTGCCTCCATACACTACAAGTCACTCTACTCTTGGGAACTTGGTCCATTTTCCCAGCTCTCCTGTGACTGGTGTTTGACAAAATTCAACAGCCCTGAGCTGGGTGTGGTGGCACACTTGGGAGGCAGCGGCAGGGGGATCAGGGCCAGTCCTGGCTATATGTCGCTAACTTGGGCTACACGAGATCCTGTCTCAAACAGACAAAAAGCAGAAATCTTCCCCTGTCCCACAGCAGTCTTGTAATCTCTCTATGTCATAGGATGCTACCTGTTAGGTTCTTGTAGGCGCCTTTTATTTTATCTAAGTTTTATTTATTTATTTTTATTTTACGTGCATTGGTGTTTTGTCTGCATGTATGTCTCTGTAGGGGTGTCAGATCCCTTGGAACTGGAGTTAAAGACAGTTGTGAGCTGTCATGTGGGTGCTGGGAATCGAACCCAGGTCCTCTGGAAGAGCAGTCAGTTCTCTTAACTGCTAAGCCATCTCTCCAGCCCCCTAAGGTTTATTTTTATTGTGTATATGTGTGTATGTGTGCACCCATCTGTGCCAGTGCCCACACAGGCCAGAGGCGTCACATTCCTCAGGACCTGGAGTTAGTTACAGGCAGTGGTGAGCTGACTGAGGTGGCTTCTGGGAATCGAACCTTTCATCGTCATCAAGAGCAACATGTGCTCTTCTTGGCTGCTGCTGTGCCATCTAGTGCCCTGTCCCCCTTACCCCCTGCCCTCCCCCAGCCCTGCCTTGAAACAGGGTCTCATGTAGCCCAGGCTAGTCTTGAACTTACTATAACTGTCCTTGAACTCCTGATCCTCGTGCCTCAGCTGAGTGCTGGAATTGCAGTTGTGAGCTGCCATGCCGGGCTATTGAGGATGGCTGCTCTCACCACACCTGTTTAGTGTTGTGCTGGATGGAGAGTCTGGGTTGGAAAAAATAAAGAGAAATAAATACAAGTTGAAGAGAAATAAAAAAAAATTGTCGCCGGGCGGTGGTGGCGCACGCCTTTAATCCCAGCACTCGGGAGGCAGAGCCAGGCGGATCTCTGTGAGTTCGAGGCCAGCCTGGGCTACCAAGTGAGCTCCAGGAAAGACGCAAAGCTACACAGAGAAACCCTGTCTCGAAAAACCAAAAAAAAAAAAAATTGTCCCCACTTACATGCAGCATGTTTATTCACATAGTCTCAAGGAGTTGGGTGTATGACACGTGCTTGTAATTCCAGCACTTAGGACATGAAGACAAGAGGATCTGGAGTTTGGGCCAGCCTTGGCTACAAAGTGAATTGGAAGCTATTCTGGGCCACACGACTGTCTCAAAAACACCTCTTAGAGGGCTGGGTATGTGGCTGAGCTGGAAGATGTTTGCCTGGCCCGTAGGAAGGCCTGGGGTAGCACTGGCTTTGACTCCACTGGGGGAGGTAAAGACAGAAAGACCAGGCAGATCGAGTCCATCTTCCACCTAGATACAAGGTTCAGTAGTTAAGTGCACTGGCTGCTCAGCTGGCCAGTGGTGGCACACACCTTTAATCCCTTTCATCCTGGCACTCGGGAGGCAGAGGCAGACAGATCTCTGTGAGTTGCAGGACAGCCAGGGCTACACAGAGGAAAAACCTGTCTCAAAAAACCAAATGAATGAATGAACAAATAAATAAATAAAAATTGCACTGGCTGCTCTTCTGGAAGACCCAGGTTTGATTCCCAGCCCCCACACGGTGGCTCACAGCTGTCAATAACACCGTTCCAGGGGATTGCACTTTTCTGGCTTGTAGCTAGAGAATTTCTCTCCAGCTCCTGCCAAGTCTCGCCAGTCCCGGAGCCCACTTATAAAATAAACACACAGACGCTTACATTATTTAAACTGCTTGGCCATTAGCTCAGGCCTATCATTGTCTAGCTCTTACTCTTATATTTAGCCCATTTCTATTAATCTGTATTTTGCCACGTGGCTCGTGGCTTACTGGTACCTTACATCTTCCTTGTCCTGGCGGCGGCTGCAGGCAGTCTCCTCCTTCCCTTCCTGTTCCCTCAATTCTCCTTTCTGTTAGTCCTGCCTATACTTCTTGTCTGGCTACTGGCCAATCAGTGTTTTATTTATTAATATATTTGTCATACAGAACACCCCACAGCACTAGCCTCTGGACACTACACGTGCATGTAGTACATAATATACACACAGGTGCTCATGCACACAGAAAATTGAAAAACATCCTCATCTACATAGTGAGTTTGAGGGCATGTCTCAGAACCAAGCCCCTGAGCCTGATGGGCAGATCTGGGATCTGTCTGCCACAAAGTCCGGCTAGGCTACAGAGTAAGTTGGAGGCCAGCATGGATAACTTAGTAACTCTCTATCTCAAAATAGCCATAGGGCTGGCAGAGTACTTGCTTAGCATGCACCAGGCAGGCCTGAATTTATGCCATTGACCTGGTACATACTTTATGGCTGCCTTTTCTTCAGTCAGGCCACGAAGTGCCTGGTGTCTGGCATTACATCTGTATCCCTTCTTCAGAGGAGTGGCACCTCAGGTCTCCCAGGGTTCTGAATTTTGTACCCCATATGTCTTCTAGGTGGGTGACGGTTTGTAGTAGTGAAGGCCCCTTGGGTTGGTACCCAGTTCTCTGGGCATCTCTACCTTCTCGCATCCCTTCATCTCTTGCCTCCTCACTTCTCCATCCTTCCCTCTGCCTTCTATCAGAAGGTACAAGCCCGCAGTCCCACCCAGAGAAGCATACTCTCCTGCCCTGGGGAGTGGAGGAGTGGAGCCCATGCCGTGAACTTGCTTTTGTGCCTGGCCCGGAAGGTCCCTTCTCAGCCTGCAGCTGTCCACAGGCTCTGCCCCTCCTGACCTGTGGCAAATGGATGCCTCCCTCCAGCTCCCGATCTGAACAAGAACCTCGAGTTCCAGATTGGTGCTTCTTGGTTGACACCAGACAAGCAGCTGGGGATGTGCTGTATGCTGTGGCAAGGTGGGAGTGTATGCGGTAGGCCCCCACGGGCCGGAGGGGTGAGGTCTCAACTCTGAGAACACCTGAGTGTCCCAAACACCCTCCAAATTCCCGTGTGGCCACGATTTCGTAGTATAGCCAGAAATTGAGAAAATTCACTGAGAGGCCTTGTGTCTTAACTTGAAAACACAGTAGGTGCACATGGTTTAAAATGAAAAGGTGTCGGGGTCCAGAGGGCATAGCCAATCCTCTGATGAGCCTGCGTCTAGAGCTTCCTTCTACCTGCCTGCTCCAGACCGGACTGGCACTGCTCATCGCTTGCTTCTCGTTAAGGGTGTTCTGAAGTGTATTTCATTGAGTACAAAGTTAAGTCAGGATAAGATGGTATCAGAGATGAGGGAAAGTTTGAAAGGCCCTGAGTTAGTGAGGAGGTGAAAGCTTCACAAGGACGCATGAGAGGCTGGGATGGCAGGTCGGGTCTCCAAGCCCATCGGAAGACTAAGTCACTGAAGTGCCTCATGGAGTCCCTCCCTCCCTGTCCCCCATTGTCCCTGTGGTCTCTGGGAAACCCTGGGGGCCCAGCTGGTGCAAGGGCAGTCCCGGCCTCAGCTTCCCTCCGCCCACCCGCCCCTTTGATCTCCTTATCTGGCCACTGTCTTCAGTGGGTTCTTCGGGACCTGCTTTGAGTTAATGAGTTCTCCAGGCTGCACTGGCCCATACAGCCTCCCCGCTGGGCCAAGGCCTTCACACTTTTGGGGCCTATGTTTTGACAAGTGCCAGAGCCAGCGGCTTCTGCTCCCCTGGCCCGAGCCTCCCCTGGATGCCAATGTGTAAGGCTGGGAACTGAGGCCTTGCCACCACCCCACCAAAACAGAGGTGAAAGTTCAAGCCTCAGCCAGATAGGGGGCAGGCAGAATGGGGGGGAGCGGGGGGGGGGCGCACGGGGGTGGGGTGGGACGAGATGACTTTCAGGCTCAGGATCCAACCTCAGCCTTCATGCTGGAGCCTGAGCGTCACACTCCCAGCCATTCTCCAGCCTCAGCGCCCTCACTTCCCAGCCAGCCCCTCTGACATAGCCTTGCTAATCAAGGGTGCTATGTAAAATTGCCTTGCAGCCCCGAATCCCGGGGGAACCCTTAAGTCCCCAGGACACCTTATTTCACATCTTAGAGCCCCAAGGAGACATGGAAAGAAAGAGGTTTCCAGGCCCCAGCCTGGACCGTGTGGGCCAGAAGTTCTGCAGGATGGAGCCTGAGAATCCAGGAACATAAAATCCAGGCCCATGAGATGGCTCGCTGGGTAAGGCCACTTGCTTCCAAGCCAGGCAGCTGGAGCTCATTCCTCAATCCTCAGGATGCACAAGTTGTCCTTGACTGCCAGTGGTGCACCTGCAAGTGTGTGTGTGTGTGTGTGTGTGTGTGCGCGCGCAACACCCCATACATACAATAATGGTAAATATTTTTAAAATCTCTTCAAAATAATGAAAGTACCA